ACAAAACCACTGTCGATTGTCAGAAAAACCCACTCAGTTCCTTCAAGGAAGGAAATCTGCCATCCCTATCTGGTCTGGCCTACATGTGATCCAGATCCACAGCAATGTGGTTGACTCTCAACTGCCATTCAGCTGTATAAATTGCTAGAAATTCTCAAAACAGGAACAAAATTGGGCAGATCATCTGGCATTGACCTGGCATCAGAAACAACAATAGCACAAATCAGCCTTATCGACCCTGCAAAGTGCTCCTTATTAACATCTGGAACTTGTACCAAAATTGGCAGAGTTGTCTCACATACTACCATAGAATCCCTACAGTGTGGAAGTAGGCCATTTGGCCCATTGAATCCACACTAACCCTCCAAACAGCAGCCCACCAGTCAAGCAACAGTCTGATATTGTCTGAGAGATATGATTCTGTGAGTGTGACTATGTCCCAGGCACCACTATCACCACTGGCAAGGGCCAGCCCAGCAGAGGTGGCAAAGTGGTATATACAGTCAGAAGGGAGTTGACCTGGGAGTCCTCAACACTGACAGTGGACACAATGATGTCTCACGGAATCAGGCCAAACATGGGAAAGAAGACCTCCTACTGATTACCACAAATGTTTCTCCTGTGGCTGATGAATCAGTGCTCCCCCATGTTGGAGGAATCTCTAAGGTGGCAAAGGTGCAGAGTGTCTCTGGGGAATTTCAATGACTACCAAGATAGGCTCAACAGCATTAATACTGATTGAGCTGGCTAAAGGACAGTGCTGCTAGACTGAATCTGCAGCAGATTGGGAGGTAACAACATACTTGACCTCATCAGTACCAATCTGTCTGCTGCAGATGCGTTTGTTCATGACAGTATTGGTAACAGTGATTTCTGCACAGTGCTTGTGGAGGCAAAGCCCTGCCTTCACACTGGTAATAGCTTACATCATGTTGTGCGGCACAATCACAGTGCTAAATGGGAGAGACTTCAAATAGATCTGGCAACTCAATATGAAACATTCATGAGGCACTGTGGGCCACAGCAGCAGCAAAAATATACTGCAACAAAATCTCACAACCTCATCCTTCACTCTACCATTATCAACAAACCAGAGAATCAACCCTGTTCAGTGGAGAGTGCAATAAAGGATGCCAAGAACAGCACCAGGCATACCTAAAACCGAGGTGTCAATCTGATGAAGCTACCAACCGGCTAACTTGCATGCCAAACAGTAGAAGCAGTAAGTAATAGACAGAGCTAAGCAATCCCATAACCAACGGATCAGATTGAAGCTGTGCAGTCCTGTCACATCCAGTCGTGAATGGTGCCGGAAAAATCAAATCAAACAACTCACTGGAGGAGCAAAATCCCTGGGTATTGTCATTCTCAATGATCGCTGAATTTAGCACCATCAGTGTAAAGGATAAGGCTGATGCGTTTGCAACAATCTGCAGCCAGACGTGTTCAGTCAATGATCCATCCTGGCCTCCTCCTGTGGTCCCCAGTATCACAGTTGCCAGTCTTCAGCCAATTCAATTCACTCCACATGATAAGGAAACAGTTGAAGGTACCGAACACTGTAAAGGCTATGGGCCTTAACAACTGAAGACTTGTGTTCCAAACTTGCCGCTCCCCTAGCCAAACTGCTCCAGTAGAGCTACAATAATGGCATCTGCCCAAAAATATGGAAAATTGTTCAGGTATATTTTATAAACAAAAAGAGCAGGACAATTCCATCCCGCAAATTACTACATCAGTGAAGAGATGGAAGGTGTCATCAACAGTGCTAGCAAGCAGCACCTTTGTAGCAACAGCCTGCTTACTGACCCAGTCTGGGTTCCACCAGGAGCACTCTGTGCCTTACTTCAATACAACCTTGATTCAAACATGGACAAAAGAGCTAAATTCCAGAGGTGAGGTGAGAATGACAGCCTTTGCTACGAAGGCCAAATTTGACCAAGGTGAGGCATCAAGGAGCCCGAGCAAAACTGGAGTCAATGGGAATTGAGGGAAAACTCTGCCATAATGAAACAAAGAACTGTGGATGCTGGAGGTCTGAAAAAAACTAAAGAAGCAGAAGAAACTCAGCAGGTCTGAGAGCATCCATGGGAAGAGAGCAGAGTTGACGTTTCAAGCTTGGTGATTCTTCATCAGAACTCTACAAGTTGGAGTCAGATCTGCCTCAAAGGAAGATAGCCAAGGATGCTGGTAGTCAGTCATCTCAGGTCCTGGACATCTCCATAAGTTTACTATCTGAGGAACTCTATCTGCTCAGGGATTTTAGGATACACCGCTGGAGCAAGTGAGACTTGAACCTTGGCCTCATGGCTTAAAGATATGGACATTACCACTGCACCACAGAGGCCCAGTTCCTCAGGATACAGTCGTAGGCTCAACCATCCTTTGCTGCTTCATCAATAACTTCCCTCCATAAGATCAGAAGTGGGAATGTTCACCAATGATTGCACAATGTCCAGCACCATCGGTGACTCCTCAGATACCAAAGCAGTCCACGTCAAATGCGACAAGGTTTGAGCTGAATAGTGGCTGGTTACATTCATGCCATGCCCAATAAAAAGGAGACTCTAACTCCGCATTTTGACACTCAATGGTGTTACTAACACTGAATCCCTTAACACCACCTCGTGGGGGGTACCACCGACCAGAAACTGAACTGGACTCACCATATAAATACAATGGCTACAAGACCAGATCGAAGGTTTGGAGTAAATGTTTATTTCACCTTCTGGCTCCCTGAAGTCTGTCCACCATCTATGAGGCACAAGTCAGGAGTGTGATGGAATACTTCCCACTTATGTGAATGAGTGCAGCTCCAACAACAGTTAAGAAGTTTGACACCATCCAGAATAAAGCAGCCACTTGATTAGCACATCCATTCCTCCACCACCTACAATCATTTGCATCTTTACAAGACTCACAGCAGAAATTCACTAAAGATCCTTAGGCAGCACCTTCCAAGCTCACAACCGATTCCATCTCGAAGAACAGGGCAGCAGACACATGGGAACACCATCACCTGTAGGTTCCCTTCCAAGCATCTCACCATTCTGACTTTGAAATGTATCACTGTTTCTACACTGTCGTTGGGTCAAAATCCTGGAATTCCTACAGCATATGCACTGCAGTGGTTCAAGGCAGCAGCTCACCACCACCACCGTCTCAATGGCAACTAGGAATGGTCAATAAATGCTGGCCCAGCCAGTGATCGAATAAAAAGAGTGGCAGACAGGTTAGCAAAGGAGTTAATAAAGCACATGGAATCCTGGGTTTATAAAAGTAAAGTCAGCAAGTAATGCTAAGCCTGTATAAAATGTTAGTTCAGGCCTGCTGGTGTTACAGTAAATCCTCAGTTTCTGTGAAATCACAAATCGTGAATTTGCCTACACATGCCAAAAAAAAAAGTAACAACAAAAACAAAATCCATGGGCAAAAATCACATTGTCACGTTTTTTAAACGAGCTTCGCCCTTGCAAATTTCATCACTCAGAGGTTCTCGGAATGGAACCCTTGTGTATCCAGAGGAATTACTATATATTGCCAACTCTGAGTGTCACATGAAGACTTTAAAGAGGGTACAGAAGAGATTTATTGGAATGGTTCCAGAACAAAGAGGTTATACATAAGTGAACAGACTGAAGCAGAAATGTTATAAAGGCAAATGATATCAAAATTTAATATGTCAATGCAGTGAGATAATGTAAGAAAGGAGGAACTGTTTTCAATGGCCAAAGGTTATTAACCAGTAGTTATATTTTTAAGATGATTGGTAGAAGATCCAGAAGTGACATGACAAAATAGCCTTTTCACACAATGAATAGTTAGGATTTGATAGGGATGTCGGATATAAATTTAATAGCAGCCTTCAAAAGGAGAACAGATTAGTCTTTGAAAGAGAAAAATAATTGAAGGGACATGAAAAAAGGGTAAGAGACTGGGAGTCAAGGGTCTGTTCCAAGAGCGAGGTGATACACAACTGATGGATTCAAGGTCCTCCTTTTGTGCTATAATTTTCTATGATACAAATAGAATGATCCAAGATTAGTATCTGTTGTTTGTGTTTTCTGCCTCAATCATGAAAAATGTTGTGATTACTTTCTGTGCAAAATGGCAGTTAAACTACAGTATGTGATGTGGCTGTACTTCATTGAAAGATAAAACAACTGTCAACTGGGGAACATTCTCCATGAGGAGGAAACAAATAATCCCAGAATACTCTTTGCTCTTCTGAAAAATTTGATCCAGTAGTAAGTTGACCTTTAGTAGAGCTGCTAAAGAATAATACTGTACACAGAAGTCACAAGAAGGAGCAAGAGAAATGGCCAAGAGTATGGGCAACACATTTTTGCACATAGTTGACTGAACAAACTGGAATAGGTTTAATTTTCAGTTATTGCCCAACAAATCCAAATGTGGTCCTTTATTAATAGAAGGGAAATACTGTGAAATGGTCTTGGTATTCACTACTCTACTAACCACCCATGAAACCCACAAGCTATTTTCTTCATGTAGCTCAGGTTCTCTGTCTGCTCAGCATTTGCCAATAGAAATAGGTTGAAGTTCAATTAATGGAAATTGCACAATGCAGCAAGTGTATTTTAATGATTTGCAAATGCACAAACAACTGAAAGCTGAAAAGTGTGTAGACTGCAAGAGTGCTAGTATGTAGTCAAAAATGTCCCCAATTGTCCAACCTGCAAATAAACTATTATCATATTCCACAGTGATCTTGCTTTTCATTTGAACACCCTCAACTCCACACACAAACTTCCTATTATACTATTTCCACAAACTGAGATAAGCTAAGACAGACAAACCAACTTAAGTCAGTTCTGGGCTTGTATCATGCACTTACACACCATACAGTGAACTATACATCCCACAGCAATAGGAAATAAGAGAAATATTGGCTCAATTCCAAGGGCATTTATACATTTGCACAGATCATACATTTAACACTCCACTACCCGAACACGTATGATAGTAAAATGAAGATTTACCGGTCATTGTCAGAATTCCTGAGTGATGGTAGTATCTGGCGGAAGCTGGTATTGCGGTCAAGCTTTGGCTGGCTCTTTGTTCGTTTAATAGAGCCCTTTAATCGTTTGCTGAAAAAACCCTACAATAAAAGGAAAAACATAAAAACTTTATTAGGTTTATGCAAGCCAAGGAAAAGCTTATCTCTAAAAAGGCAAAATGAAGGCAAGGGATGCACTGGCTGAGTAATATGGAGAAAACTTACAAGAAAAAAATTAAAATAACCAAAGACACAAGATATTCTGCTATCAATCCTCAAGACATGAAGCCACTAATTTATTCACACTTCTCAAACTTTGGGAAATAATAATATTTATATGTATTGAAATTTAAAAAAAGGTGTGGTCCAATTAAAAATGATTAATAGTTATTGCACTGCATCCCAAAAAATTATTATATGCATTTTACCAAGTAACAAAATCTGAACTGGAGTAGCTGAAACTAACAGTACTTCTCGGAGTCAGAAATTATATGCAACTTGCATGGGTGACGTGGAACTGAGTTGCAGAAACAGAAAGCATTTGTGCTTTAATTGTCAACCTAACAAAGCTGACTTTCACCCACATATTCAAGTGACTGAACCAGTATACTTAAACTCCCCAGAGCGTGGAAACAGGCCCTTCGGCCCAACAAGTCCACACCAACTCTTACAGCAGAGATAGTAGGAACTGCAGATGCTGGAGAATCTGAGATAACAAGGTGTAGAGCTGGATGAGCACAGCAGGCCAAGCAGCATCAGAGGAGCAGGAAGGCTGACGTTTCGGGCCTAGACCCATCCCTCCCAGACCCATCCCCCTATAACCCACCTAAATCTACACATCCCTGAACACTATGGGCAATTTAGCATGGTCAATCCACCTTGAGTGCACATCTTTGGACATTGGGAGGAAACCAGAGCACCCGGAGGAAACCCACGCAGACATGGGGAGAAGGTGCCAACTCCATACAGACTGTTGCCCAAGACTGGAATCGAACCCACGCCCCTGGTGCTGTGAGGCAGCAGTGCTAACCACTGAGTCACCGTGCCGCCCAGAATCTGGATCTGTGTCATGTGTATGTGCAGTAAAAGCAGAAAAGTAGTTACAAGTGGTTTCCAGGGCACCTCCATTGTCAATGACATAGTAATTGGTCATGAATCTTCTCCAATGTCAGCAGAAAGTGCAACCAGTGGTGGGGAAAAAAGATACTTTACTGATCCTCGATGGCCAGACATAATTTTCATGATTCTCACTACTATCAGAGTGACACGCAACATGTAATGAACTGTTTGTAAACAGCTCCAGGATATATTGCTCAGTCAGGATCTTATGTGCTGTAGAAATCAATACCAATTAAATTATTTGCACCACCATGAGTGCTGACTGAAAAAGAATGAATGGTTCTAACAATGGAAAGGTACGGAACGTATACAAACGACATTACTTGGCTTTCACAAATTACAAGTCATCCATTCTTTCAAGCTATTCTGAAGTGCACAGATTCTAACCACTTGATCTTGGATCTCATGCTCATGCAACCGTTATTTATTTTGCTCCAAAAGAGTTGGCTAATTTGTTCTTCTCAATAGCATGCCATACATGTCAGGACTACACGGCATAGAACCATAGAATGATACAGTACAGAAAGAATCCATTTGGCCCATGATACCTGTGCTCTTAGAAAACTATCCAATATTCCTACTCTCTGTTCTTTACAAAGACACTGCATTTTTATTTTTCAGTTTCAAGCATGTATTCAATTTCCTTTCAGAAGCTACTGTTATTCGGCTTCCACCAATCTTCTGGGTCATAAATTTTAGATCATAACAATTTACTACATAAAATTGTTCTGCCATGTTACCTCTGGTTACCTTGAATCTTTGTTCTATGATTACTAACCCTTGGGTTGAGGAAGCATGTTGAGATCACTGGTATATAACGGGCATTATCCCCACAGGGGCTGGGGTGCATCATCTACCCCAAAACAATACTTTTGATTTAGTTTTGGAAGTGTCCTTTAAAATGCAGTTTGTTTTTTTAAAAAAAGTGTCCCTTCAAGGTGTGGTTAATTTGGTGGTTGGTTTCTAGAGCTTTTTCAAATATTTGATTTACACATAACATCTTTCAAGGCTCCTGTCAAATCTCCTTCTCCTTTGTCAGAAGATGAACCCTGGTTCCTCTGGCTATGACAAATAACTGAAGTCTTTCATCTCTGGTGTTTGAATAAAGTCCCTATGCATCCTTTTGGAGGCTGTGGAATCCTTCCGAAAGTAATCAGTGTTCTCTGCCATTTGGGCCAAGCATTTTGTTTGCTTTTGCAATCGATGCCCATATTTATAAAGCGAAAGAAATCATGTCTTTCTAACAGCCTTCATAGCTTGTTCTACTATCTTCAAAGACTTGTTTAGGTACATCCCAAAATACTTTTGTGCCTGAACTCTTTAAAATTGTGTCACTGAGTTTATACTGTCATTCTTCATTATTGATCCTAAAAGTTATAATTTTATATTTCCACTTCAAATTTCATCTGCCATGTGCCTGCTTATTTCATCAATCTGTCCACGTGCTCCTGTTACTATGCTCCTTCCAGGCTTTTACATTTCTGCGTTTCAAGTCATGCCCTATATTGTTATTCATGCCTTTTGATCCTGAAGCAAGAAAGGCAGTAAGAAACATTTCTAATTATTTTGTTTCCTAAAATGTTTGAAACTTAGTTTAAGAGTTGTACCAATTGTAAAAGGGATCAATAAGTTTTGGACAATAAGAAATAGTGGTCAATGTGATCTGGTGATCCTTAACCTGAAAGTAGTACCAAAAGGAAGTTCAAGGTCAGATCATTTGCAGCATACATAAAGCAAGAGGTGGAGAAGAAATCGTGCTGGCTGGTTCTGGTGGTGATAGGTGAGTGCAGGTAGGCAGTGGTGCATCTGCTCCTCCTTCCTCACTGGCCAAGCCCCACCACTGCCTACCTGCACTCACCTATCACCACCCCACCTCCCTTCCCCCTCCCCCATTTCTGAAGAAGGGTCCCGACCCGAAACGACAGCTGCCTGGCCAGTTCCTCCAGCTCCACACTGTTATCTCTGACTCCAGCATTGGCAGTTCTTACTGTATCCATCTCTTCCTTAGATACTGTTACCTGTGTATTGTGGAAACCAGTACAGAAAAAAGGGGCAGAAAACCTTAAGGCTACATTTAAAATGTTATCCTAATTTGGTTATTGAATTTAAGTTAAATTTCCCATTACTGAGGAATTAGGGTGTTACTCCTGAGCTGCTCTCACTATACATTTAATCATTCTGTCAAATCAAGCATAAACAATGCCTGGATTCCCAATGTTAAAAGCTATTAAATGAAATCACTACTCTCACCCACAATTAATACAGACATAACTAAATTGATTTTAAAAGTAAATGTTCAAACATCCTAACCTGCATTATAAAATACACCCCATCATGGATGCATCAAAGTGATATTACTGGATCATGCAGTTATGTGTCAGGCACTACCCTCGCTGGAAAAGGACCTACTAATACAGAAGTCATCAAATACAGATGAGAAAAATGCTATCACGTACATATTCGTAGAATCCCAACAGTATGGAAACAGGCCATTCAGTCCATTGAGTCCACACCAACTCTCTGAAGAGCATCCTACCAGACAGATCCCTACTCTATCCCTGTAAACCAGCATTTCCCATAGCTAACCCACCTAGCCTGCACATCCCTGGATACTGCAGGGCAACTGAGCATGGCCAATCCACCTAACTTGCACATTTTTGAACTGTGGGAGGAAACCAGAGCACCCTGAGGGGAAATGTGCAAATCCCACACAGACAGTCGCCAGAGGGTGGAATCAAACCCACGTTCCTTGCACTGTGAGGCAGCAATGCCAACCACTGAGCAACCTAAAATTACAGATGAATCCAGTTTGAGAAAAATCACTATGATTGCCAGCCAGTAATAAAAGTGAACACTGACATCATAGTTAAATGTGAACTAATCGAAAAATGAAGGAAAAATTTAAAAAGCCCATTTGTATAATGGTTTTCCTGATGTTGGATATCTTGTGCCTCTTCACAGGCAATAATGTACTTTTGATATGTAGTCACTGCTGTCATGTAAGAAAAACAGTAGCCAATTTGTGCAGAGCAAGACTCCACAAATGGCACTGTGATAATGACCGCATAACCTGTTTTTGTGGAGTTGAGATAAAGGATAAATTTTGGTCAGGGCTTGAGGAGAGGTCAACTGCATTTCGTTAAACAAATGTTATGGAATTTTCAACATTTCCACTCTTTTACTACTGCAATGAAATGATTGCCTGGATTTGGTGCTCAAATCTTATAATTCAGAAACAACTATTACTCACTTAGCCACAGGTGCAAAGTAGGGACATAAAATGGCACAAAGGAATTTCTAAAGGACAATTTACTTGCAATAAACTTGAAGGCTGAGCATTGAAATAAAGCAGTCCCATTTACTAAACATCTGTCAACAAAATTCCTGCAAATAAGGACTTTCAACATTTTACTACATTAGAGCACTGATATTCAAGAACATGACTGTCTGTCAGGATTAACCTGTATTACTTTTAACATCCTGCGTGTAAGGTCTTCAAATAATCCTGTAGGCTCCATAAAAAGAATGGCCTTATCTTTCTCCTGCACAACTAATGTCAAAGTTTGGGGCAATTAAATATGTAATATGATTGCTGCCCTTCAAGCTATAATGTAACATTGTAAGGGAGAAAAATAGTAAGTTTCTTTTATGTAGCACCTTTCATATTATGAAATATTCCAAATGATTCACATGAGCTTTTAAAAAATAATATTTGATGCAGACCCACATATGGGGATATAAAGGATAGATGACCAAAAAAGTTTGGTCCAAGAGCTAAGTTTTTAAAGAGTATCTTAAAGGAGTGGTGAGAGATAGAGTGTGAGTAAGAGATGGAGAAACAGAGGAAGGAAGGTAAGGCAGTTTAAGAAGGAAATTCCTGAGTTTCGGGCTAAGGCAACTGGAAGCATAGTCATGAACAGTCAAAGAGAGGAAGGTCTACAAGCTTCCACTGGGAAAATGTTTTTGTGTGTATATATGTACTA